GTCTATTTGACTTGGTGAGTGGTGACTACCACCAAAACAAAATGAAACATGCTGCCCTGCTTTGCATACAGAATAAATTTTGAAGCATTTCTACTGTTACTTGTAACGATAATCAGATTTGATGAGAAAATATGGAGTCTTTCTGTATGACTGTATGTTAGTGATGTGATCTCATTGTTCATAAGGCTGAAATAGTTTGAAACTCGTGTGAAAATAAATTCAGTATAAATGTACAGTACATACCTTGATATACAGAACAATCAGTCAATATCATTTCATATTCCAGGCAACACTATCAGTGTTTATTCAGTCGCATTTGAAGCCGAACAGCATCTGATATATACGAGGGTTGCCAAAGCGAACAAAACAATGTCACAAATATGAGCGCCATACTCCGACAAATTGATACAATATGATGACGAATGTTGCACAGTTTTGTGTACATGTGTGTTCACAGCTTATATCTGAAGTATTTTTCTTAAAATTTGTTAAAACTTTGAGAATAAATACATAAAGAATCAACAAAACATGTGTATTTTTAAGCAAGAAAATCGTAAGCGCCAGCGCTAATTGTAGTCAGCAACATAACGTTGTCGTTACTGCGCATGCGATAAATCCCCAAGAATCTTGGAGATTTCATCGTATTTTACCAGGGTCTTCCTCAGCTCGCGCGCCACCACCAGGAAGCCCCTGGGGACGAGGTTGAGCCAAAGGTTGGCGATCTAACTGATCTCCGCAACTTCATCAAATAATGGATTATTAATAATCATTAGCCTGTATGGTCCACGTAACCTTTTTCCAGCAAACTGCAACACTGTTATCGTACGAAACTGAAACATCAACATAGTTTGGACCTTAGTAGGCCGTATGATTCATCCAATAGATGCAATTCCGTTGCACCCCTCGTGGAACTACGTAATTTTCACATGAATCAATAGATAAAAAACTTAATTTATCCAAATTCGTTGCTTCCCAAGTGAAACAGGTGCACAATTGGGAAAAAATCGCTCCAAAGTTTGATATTTCCGCACTTCAAAATATTCGAACCGCCATTATTTTGGTGGCAAATCCGCATACGCATGCCAGTCAAACTAAAACTGCTCACGGGCAGACAGTAATGGATTTTCTTGTGGGTTTTCCCCAAATTCCCTCGTAAAACAACAAAATAGCATCACGGAATTGAGATCAAACCTTGTAAGATTTAATCACGGAATTGAGATCAAACCTTGTAATATTAACGAATAAATACACACACATTAAATACTGTTTAAAACACATTGTACATTTTGCGTGCTCATATGCTAAACCACTTCAATTCATTGGCTATCGATTCAAGATACCGTTTTAACGTTTCATTCTACTCATTAACATCCTGACTCAATACAAATTTGTGTGAGATATTAAAAAACCCACCTGTATGAAACAGGACGGAGAATATATAAATATACATGCAATTCATACGATCAAGGAACAAAATAAATATTTGGCAAACCGAAAGCCTTGGCCGATCGTATAAAAGAAACATGGTCGCGGATCGAAATATTCGTGATTTTCAATGTATGTTCAAATATTTCCCTGTCTCCCACATCTGGAAACATTCGCTTTTGTTGCAGAAACACAATTTGCTTCCCGAAAGCAAAAATATTTCCTACAAAATTCAGAAACATTTGATGAAACAGATACACTCTTTCAACGTTTGCTGACGCTGGTGAGACAATACTGTAACATATCGAAACCCGAAACATTGGTAAGACAAATAATATGACAAATATATTTGTGCAACATTGTTTCGCAGTTTGTCCCGGGCTTTAAGGGATATTTATATACACTCCAAGGTAAACCTGTGATTTAATCTTTAATGTATTATTGAATAACTATATGTAAGATATGTCTGGCGCTTCTTAAATTGTGCGTTCGGGCCATCGCATATCCTATGGATACCAATCGTGGATTTGAACCAACTTTTCCACTCGTTCCAACCATCTTTTCCAACCATCTGTTACAACCGACGAAGCCTGACTACACCAGTGAAGGAGTTTAACTGTGAAAGAAACATGTCCCAGGCACCAACGCGAAATTCATCATAAAATAAATAAATTGGGAGGAAATAGAAAATCTATAATTTTATCATCATTGTTCTTCAAAATTCGAAAACATCTGAAAAATCGTTCTCGTCTGTATTCTGGTTGGAAGAATTTGTGCAATCGCAACAGGAACTACACTTCAATTCTGCCGACCAGAATACAGACGAGAACATTTTTTAGTTGATTTTCCAACCAGAATATAGACGACGACAATTTTTTAGATGATGACGATGATGATGGCCTATAATTAAAACTTGATGACGATAACACTGGATTTGGTGGAAAATTGGAAGAACAATGATTGTAATGTACTTAGATACTATGTGCACGGTGCAGTAAATCAATATTTATTTACTTATTCGATATTCTCTATCAGATCCACAGTATTTATATTACAAACACGTATATCCCTCTCACCGACAGGGTTAACAGTATGGTCATGGTTGAGAAGCTGAAACGCACACTGGCGCAGCAGAAAATCTATAAGAAAAGGTCAACTAGTGTGGGCACGAAAAATCAGGTTGAATCGTTCCTCAGTATTCTAGATAATTGCTAAATACCAACTTACGTCACAATGCAATATGTGCAATAGTTCAAATACGAGAAGTAGAACTTTTCTTACCAGATAAAAACCAGGAAAGATTATTTAGCATAAAGTAGCATACATGCTATCTTATTTTCAGCGTAGCCCCTTGGCCAGTACGTATCCTATAGAGGGATTTTATTGCACTGATGAAAATCTGAGCTCAAGGTTGAAAACATTTCTTTCAATTATACATAGTTGGAATGAAATTATAGATTTTATATTTTTTTCCCAATTTATCTTTTACCATGATGAATTTCGAGTTGGTGCCTGGGACATGTTTCTTTCACAGTTAAATGTCCTTCACTGGTGCAGTCCGGCTTCAACGGTTGGAACAGACGGTTGGGAAAGATGCTGGGAACGAATGAAAAAGTTGGTCCAAATCCAAGATAAATATCCATGGAATATACTTAAGCTCTGATACTTAAGCGTTGGAACGCACGATTTAAAAACCACCAAACATATCACGCATAGTTATTCAATAATGCATTAAAGATTCAATCAGAGGTTTTCCTAGTAGTTTATATAAACATTCCTTAAAGCCCTGCAGGACTAACTGGAAAACATTATTGCGCAAAGTTATTTGTCATATTATTTGTCTTACCAATGGCAACGTTTCGGTATGTCACATTGTCTCACCATCGTCAGCGAACGGAGAAAGAGTGTTTCATCAAATTATGTTTCCGAATTTGGTAGGAAATGTGCTTTCCGGGAAGCAATTTTGTTTCTGCAATAAAAGCCAATGTTTTCAGATGTGGGAGACAAGGAAATATTAGAGCAAACATGAAAAATATCGAATATTTCGGCAACAATGTTTATTGCATTCGCGAAGTATTTAATTTGTTCCTTGATCGTATGAATTGTATGTATATTTATATTTTCCCCGTTCTGGTTGATACAGGTCGACTTTTTACCTCACACAAATTTGTATTGAATTAAAATGTTAATAAGTAGAATTAAACGTTAAAACGGTATTTTGAATCAATAGCCAATGAATTGAAGTGATTTAGCATATGAGCAACCAAAATGTACAGTGTGTTTTAAACAATATTTATTGTTTGTGTATTTATTCCAGAGGAGGTTGCACAGCTAATCAGGCGAACATCTCGACCAATCAGATTGCGCCATCTTCCTCAAGCTCCCACGAAGCTTGTGTCATCGAAAATTTACATAGGTCTTATAAATATCGATTTGTTCATATTGTTATGCAATTTCTTTGAGGAATTTCACGCGATACTACTTTTACAACGGTTAATCTACCCCATAGATATAGGAGATCTAGATTGCTAACGCATACCTAGCGCAGGCGGGGCCCACATGATAAATCCAAGATGGCGGTACAACAGGACAAAAAGACTATAGATTCTATTACGAAAATCAGGATTTTTGCATTTTTTGCAGTCGCGTTGTTTTGAAACTTATTCGGTCAAACTTTATGGTAAAGAGAAACTTACCGCGACGATTTTGAGCATATATATGATTGAAATGGATGAAAAATCGCAAAATTATCCAGCGATAAAAGTTCGAGTGAAATGGTCAGTTGGAGCGTTTTATTGCCAGAAATACTGTGCCATGTTAACATCTAGCCTTGTGAATGGTGTTTTATATTTGCATCTCTCATCATCGTCTGCTCTGTCCTCATAATCATGAAAAATGAACTGTTATGTACCCCCCCCCCCCTTCCTTGCTTGTTAGAGAAGTAAACTGATGAGAGCACTGGATGAGGGTCTATCATCTATGGTTTGTTATAATTTGTTCTTATGCAAATAGTGAGCAAAAATTAAAGCAAAACTGTACAAGTTACATATATTGTACTATATCAGTATTATACACGAACTTTATCGATGGATAATTTTGCGAGTTTTCATCCAATTCAATTATATATATATGCTCAAAATCTTCGCGGTAAGTTTCTCTTTACCATAAAATTTGACCGAATAAGTTTCGAAACAATGCGACGGCAAAAAGTGCAAAAGTCCTGATTTTCGTAATAGAATTTATAGTCTTTTTGCCCTGTTGTACCGCCATCTTGGATTTATCATGTAGGCCCCGCCTGCGCTAGGTATGCGTTAGTAATCTAGATCTCCTATATCTATGATCTACCCGGCATTGGAACGGTATCGTGAAAGGTGTCATCTTCCAGTGTATTTTGACCTCTCACTTAGATGCTATGCCGTCGCAATGTAATTTAATGGCGTTTCTGTCAACAATATTTGAAGACAAAAATCTCAAATTTCCATGGTTCGATTTCGCGATTAGTTTAATAAAAGTATTTTCTTTAATTTTATCCAGCCGGCCCCCCTCGGCCACTCAACCGTTTTCAAGATATTCACCGTTGAATATAGCCCTTTGCAAAATATGCTGCCTTGCCACTCAGATCGATAATGAAGTGCTATTAATAATTACTCGCTTTTTTCTAAAGAAATGTTATATACTATAGAAGTTTTGATATACTATTGATTATATACAATATTTTGTAAGTGAAATATATTGTTTGTCTGGTTTTTTTAATAGATTTGAGATTCGTGATTTTGGCTGGATTCTATTTTTGTCAATGACTTGTCCGCAAGAATTAAGCATCATCATTAAATTTGGAGGTAGGTTAATATCGGACCTTCCTAACTGTACAGAGTGACCTTCTACATCTGCAAGATCTCCGATGCTAAGATTGGCTCCATCAAGTGACCTTTCCTTGTTCACTTCCCTGGCAATGTATTGATGACTTCTGGATTTTCAAAACTCAGCGACAACGAGAACAACTACACATGCATCCACCGGTTTCAAAAATGGCTGGCAAAGTTAACCCTGGTTTATTAGATGCTAAACTTTGTCCCTCAAAATTTTCTCCCACTTGTTGCAAAGGCTATTTCTGTACTTCATGCTGGTCAAAAATACAATCCGATTTATCACGCTGCTAGAATGTTTGGAGAACAATGTCATGGAGGTGTTGGTCCTAGAATGCCATTGGATAGAATGGACTTCAAAAATCTGGTTTCGCCACTTTACTTGGTAATATTAGAATGCTGTTTTTGTTTTTCCTAAAAACGGCATTCTATTATTTCCAAGTGAAGTGCAGAATCCAGATTGTTGAAGTCCACCTAATCACAACCCGCGCACACCCGATCACCTATATATAGATGAAATTACGGTTACGGTTCAACAACTGGCCTCTGTAGCTCAGTTGGTTAGAGCGCTGCGACTGAATCGCACGACCGTAGGTTCAATTCCTACCATAGGACCTTGTGCTGCATTTTCGCAGTCGTTCCGGGTTAGGTCTTAAAATGTCTATATACTCACTTGGATTATAGCGGTGAAGAACTACTAGCTTGGTTTTTTTTAACAGTATTTGTAATGCAATTACACAACTAATTCAAATAAAGTTTGAGAAATGGTGGTTCTTACAATGTCAAGCCCCAGAGAGGGGGCCGGGCATGTGTGGGGCATTTGATTTTTTGAGCAAATTTTCAATCAAATGTCCCACTGTCGGGTAATAATAAATATTGGTCAAATACACAACCCTTTTTCAAAAAATACTATATTAATAAAAGTCATTTTGGTTCAAATTACCCTAACTTGTGCCCAAAATGCTAATCAAAATCCCTACATACGCCCAACCCCCTCCCCCTCTGTGGCTTAACATTTATAGGTGCAATTATATGCAGTTTTTTTGTATTTTCATGTAATGTACCACCAAGTATCAGCAGCATGTTATTGTGGGACCTTTGATCAGTATGTATATAAATAGACATATATATGTATATAAATATTTAATCAGTATGTATATATATATATATATATATATATATATATATATATATATATATATATATATGTTTTAATGTTGCATTAATTTTAATGAAAAATTACTTACAAAGTTGGTCAAGAGAATGTATAAACTATTTATTTATTCATTTAGCATACAGCACTTGTTACAATTATGTACTTAATAATTGCATGAGTCTACATAACAGACATTGTTTTAATTGCACCCACTTATGATTAACCTAGTTGTTGTTTCAAAATGCTAAAAAAAACTAAAATGTTAGCCAATTGAAATAGCATCATTCCCATGACTTGCTAAACCTAGTCAGTTACTATTATATCACAAACATCAGTCAACGTACACTCATGCTCTTCCTTACCACTTGAGTCTCCAACTCGTTGGATAAAATCCTATTTTAAAAAAGTAAACCTCTTTCCCAGGGCTTTTGTGTGAGGGCGAGACAAGTTTACGTAACTACACCTACTCGTCAGGGAGCGGCGAGATATTCTTAGCTGAAATATACAAGTATTCGAAACAAATAAACAGCCAAAAGTCTACCCTGGTTCCAAAGGTTTATTTTTATTATTTTCATTGCGAATGGGAGACGAAAAATATACCTCTGGTTGAAAGCGGCAATTGATTCATCGAGCCGCGCCAATCAGTTTGAATTAGGCTCAAGTCCTGACTCTGTCTCCTTATTGGATGATTGTATTAAAGCTCCCTGATTGATTAAAATAAAACATCTATAACCAATCAGAGAGCTTTAATACAATCATCCAATCAGGATACAGAGTACTCAGGATATGACCCTAATGGCCGCTGTCAACCAGAGGTTTATTTTCAACCTTTGAAACCAGGGTACCAAAAGACGTCTCAATCGATATTATTTATTGGCATGAATCAGATGAAATCTCCAAAGGAACCTTCGATGTTTCTAAGTATACCGATATTTCTGGAGATTTTCCGACTGCAGTGACAGGCAAAGCCAAAGGCATATGTCTCCAAGTGGCGATTCACACGAAAATTGCTTTCTCTCGTCTTGAACACTATGGCTATTGTCTTTAATATTTAGTAGTTAAATATGCTTTTATAGCAATATTCTTAGTTCGATATAAATAAACACAAATATAAAACTTCGCGTATAAACCTGTTTACGCTGGACAGGAAATATACGGATTCGACACCAACACTTGCCGTTCAGGAGCAATGCTTGCCCACGGGCAAAATTTGTCCCCTTCACAATCTTTGTTTTATTTTGTCTTATCATCACAATTTTCAAGCATTCGGGGTATTCTGAAAATGTAAAATTCGGTGTCGTGACAAGCGAATCTTGTACAGACTACATGCATAGCTTACGCGTAGTCTTCCGTGATGTTATTTTGTTCATTTTACGAGGGAATCGGGGGGAAGGGACAATCCATTTCTCCTGTCTGCGCGTGCGCAGTGTGAGTTTGGCTGACATGCACATGCGTGTTTGCTTCCAAAACAATGGGGGTTTGAATATTTCGAAGCGCGAGAATATCAAATTTCGGAGGAATTTTTTCCCAATTATATTGTGCACCTGTATCCCTTGGGGAGCAACGGATTCTCATAAAGTAATTTTTATCTATTGATTCATGCGAAAATTACGTAGTCCCAAGAAGAGTGCAATGGAATTACATCTTTTGGATGCTCCTCCTACCGCCTATAGTTGTTTTTTTTAATTTTCAGTGCTCGTTGGTAATAATTCTTAGCCTGGACCAGGTCACCTCTTTCACTGTATACTAGGCTAATGTTCTCATAAGAAACTGCAACATCAACATGGTTTGGGCCTAGCTGTTTCTCTTGAATTTTCACTGCTCGTTGGCAATAATTCATAGCTTGGTCCAGGTTGCCATTTTTATAGTACACTAGACCAATGTTCATAGAAGACACTGCAACATCAACATGGTTTGGATCTAGCTGTTTCTCTTGAATTTCCAGTGCTCGTTGGTAATAATCCTTAGCCTGGTCCAGGTTACCTTTATTATAATACACTCCACCGATGTTATTATAAGAAACTGCAACATCAACATGGTTTGGACCTAGCTGCTTCTCTTGAATTTCCAGTGCTCGTTGGTAATAATCCATAGCCTGGTCCAGGTCACCTTTTTTACTATACACTCCACCAATGTTGTTGTAAGAAACTGCAACATTAACATGGTTTGGACCAAGCTGTTTCACTTGAATTTCCAGAGCTCGTTGGTAATAATCCTTAGCCAGGTTCAGTTCACCTTTTTCCTTGTACACTAGGCCAATGTTGTTACAAGAAACTGCAACATGAACGTGGTTTGAACCAAGCTGTTTCTCCTGAATTTTTATTGCTCGTTGGTAATAATCCTCAGCCTGGTCCAGGTTACCTTTATTATAATACACTTGACCCATGTTATTATAAGAACCTGCAACATCAACATGGTTTGGACCTAGCTCTTTCTCTTCAATTTCTAGTGCTCGTTGGTAGTAATCCTTTGCCTGGTCTAGGTCACCTTTTTTACTGTACACTAGGCCAATGTTGTTATAAGAAACTGCTACATTAACATGGTTTGGTCCTGGCTGCTTCTCTTGAATTTCCAGTGCTCGTTGGTAATAATTCTTAGCCTGGTCCAGGTTACCCTTATCATAATACACTCCACCAATGTTATTATAAGAAGCTGCAATATCAATATGGTTTGGACCTAGCAGTTTCTCTTGAATTTCCAGTGCTCGTTGGTAGTAATCCTTTGCCTGATCCAGGTCACCTTTTTCACTGTATACTAGACCAATGTTGTTATAAGAAGCTGCAACATCAATGTGGTTTAGACCTAGCTGTTTCTCTTGAATTTCCAGTGCTCGTTGGTAATAAACCTTAGCCTGGTGCAAGTTACCTTTTTTACTGTACACTAGGCCAATGTTGTTATAATAAAGTGCAACATCAACATGGTTTGGACTTAGCTGTTTCTCTTGAATTTCCAGTGCTCGATGGTAATAATCCTTAGCTTGGTCTAGGTCACCTTTGTCACTGTACACTCCTCCGATGTTGTTATGAAAAACTGCAAGATCAACATGGTTTGGACCTAGCTGTTTCTCTTTAATTTCCAGTCCTCGTTGGTAATAATCTTTAGCCTGGTCCAGGTTACCTTTTTTACTGTACACTGCACCAATGTTGTTATAAGAAGCTGCAACATCAACATGGTTTGAACCTAGCTGTTCCTCTTGAATTTCCAGTGCTCGTTGGTAGTAATCTTTAGCCTTGTCGAGTTCCCCCATTTTTGTGTATGAAATGCCAAGTTCGTTAAATGTACTGGCCCTGCAATTGTGATTTTCTGAATCTCTCCAGATTTGAAGATTTGTATTATGAAATTTGACAGCCAATTGATACTCGCAATAGCCATTTAAAGTTTTCCCAAAATAGTGATATATGGCACATATTTCTGGGTTTTCAAAGCCTAAGCTAATTGAATATAACGAGTCTTGTTCGACAAATCGTTTTTTCATTGCTGTATTAAATGCCTTCAAATGGGGAATCATTTTGATTTGATCGTCCCTGTGATGGAAATGATAAAGTGCTTTTAGAACATTTTGAACTGTAATTGCAGCGCCAACATTCACTCTTTCATTAGGAATCCCACTCTGGGAATAAGATGAAGCTTCCGATTCTTGGCAATCACTTAACAACTTAGTTGCTTCATGGACAACACGATGTAGCGAGACATCGCAATCTTCAGTTTCAGTTTCAGTAAGAAGAAAAAGCGAACAATGCTTCAATGCCAAATAAATTTCCTCTTTATCATAGTTTGTATCAAGTTCCTGAACGTATTCGACAATAATATCAACAGGTAACGGTTCAAAGGAGATCAGAGAAAAAAGATTGAATGTGTGATTTAAAATAAAATTGTTTTCCGCAGATTTTTCAACAGCTAGGGAGACCGCCGCAGACATGGTGAATGGATAGGCTGAACTGGTTTGGCGAAGCTGTTCTTCTGTGACTTTTCTTTTACCTTTTAACTTCTCTAAATAATCTTGCCACGAAAACCTTGGACAACATTTTGTCTGGATGACTTTCTTGAAGTATACAGCTGCGGCAGCCATAGCCAAAGGTTGGTGATCTAACTTCTCAGCAACTTCATCAAATAATGGATCATTAGCGTCAGTTCCTGATAATATGGAAAGTAACTGACGACACTCTTGATCTTTCATGCCACGACTGAGTGAAATATGCCTAGTGAACTGACTGTCAGAAGGGATTGCATTTGTATTCTGAATTGTCAATATAATTTGACCATTACTCCAGACTTCACTGCCAATTTGAGGTAGTAAGGCTGCAATATCCTCGAGATTTTCCACATTGTCTACTATAATCCACCACCTTTTCCAGTTCTTGATTCTGCTTTCAATCAGTGATCTTAAATCTTCGATCTTTTCTTTGTTTGTTTTGGATGAATTGATTACATTTCTCAATACACTCTCAGAACAATTTAGACGTCGGCAAAAATCTTCATACGAGTGAAGGAGAGTGTTTAAATCTTTTGCGTGCAGAGTCATTACAAATGTTGCCTGTGTTTCAAAGTTTACGTCCTTGAACAAATCCTCTCCCAGTTGCCGGGATAGCTGCGATTTTCCACTTCCGGGATTTCCGGAAATATAGAAATATGTAAGTTTACTGTCGCTATCAATGCGTAACGTCTGGAGTTCTTGTTGTATATCCTTAACCTTCTCAGAACGGTAAACAACTTCGTGGGTTGGCTTTGAAGGTAAAACTTTAAACGATTTGTAAAGGTTTCTCTTCATTTTCATTTGCGTGATATCATTAATTGGAACACTGAGGGCTTTAAATGCCTTTTCGAGATCACTGATCATGGTTTGGAAGTCAGCATCAGATAGGGTAGTTTCTTCAGCATGCATAATTTTATTTCGCATACTTCGAATATTGTCCACTTCAGTCTTAATTGCTGGTTTAAGGCTTGATTTACCAATCGCGTTTGAGTACAGAATTGCGTCAAAAAGCACAGTGCAATCCCATTGATTTGTATCTCCATGTTGAAATTTTGCCTGGTACATGTTCTTGAATGGTCTTGATCGTGCATTTTCCCGATTAAACAACTGCAGTCCACTTACACTGGTGTCATCCCATGCTCCGAAACTTGCCTGATAACGAACATTCCATTCGTTTTTAAAAACTTTCCTCAATCCTTCACTGACAACATCAATGATAATATTTTGCATACAAATGTAGTTTCGTTTCTCTTCGTTTTCCCATGGTACATCTGACATATTGGGAGCTAAAATGTTTAAAAAATATCTTTAACATAAAGAAATAACATCGAAATATATTGTCTGAAATATGGAAAATATGTTTATTTCGTTTATTTCGTTTTATTTCGTTTATCTGATTAAGCCTAGCTTTTCTCTTTTTAAAAAAATATTCTAATGCTGAGTGTGTTGTAAGAAATCATGCCAATGAATAGCAGATTTAAATTCCTTGCGAAAATAACTATATTATATTGCTATTTTAAAACTAGTTTATTAATATCACCCCTATTTTTATGCTATTTTATTCAGAAGCAACCCTATTTTAATCCTATCATAATATTTCACCCAAAGAAAGAGCCATATTTTATTAATGTTTTATTTTATTTTATTCCTATTTTTATAGATAATACAAATAAAATCGCATATTTTAATACTATTTTCCAGAGCTTCAGGGAAAAAATAGGTTTAAAATAGCCTATTTAAATTCTATTTTACTTCACTAAAAAGCAGAAATTAAAATAGATATAAAATATACTATACTTTACTATACAATAAAATAGCCTGTTTAAATCCTATTTTACATTGCAAGTTAAATGCACAAATTTCAAACAGGAATAAAATATACTATTTTAATCCTATCTTTCTTTCATAGTTAGCAAAATAACAATAAAATAGACTATTTTAAACATATTTTACACGAGCAGAAAATTACATAAATTAAAATAGATATAAAATATAGTATTTTAAAGCTATTTATTTTTCAGAATACGTAAAACAGAATAAAATAGACTATTTTAAACCTATTTCACATTTTTAAAAATGCCACATTTTTCAAATAGGGATAAAATATACTATTTTAAAGCTATTTTCTTTCCCTAATTTGCAAAATAGAATAAAATCAGTGCTCTCACAATAAATTTTCGAATTCCTTAGAAAAAGTTCGAAAATTCCTCAGATTTCCTTAAAATTCCTTAAATTGGTAAAATTACCAGAAGGCCTGATCACACAGTTGCAAAAAGTGTTTTTCCTCCTTTTTTTCTGTGTTTTTCAGTTTTTATAACCTTGTTTCTAAGCACTAAAAATTGAAAACATTTGATTGTTAGCGTAATGCCATAAAGAAAACATTCAACATGATGTATTTTTGATCGTTGCTGCATGTCGAAGAGCTTAAAAAAGATGTAGATTTCAAAAGAAACAGCATATACTGACATTTAACTTTTGAGAATTTTAATGAAAAGACCAGTGGCGGACACTTTACGA